GGGGACACAGAATCCGAAGCAGGCTCCAGGCTCTGAGTGGTCAGTGTACCGCCAGGTGCGGGGCTCGAACTCCCCGTGAGATCATGACCTGAGCCAAAGTCAGACACTTAACCGACTGAGCCGCCCAGGCGCCCCTTGATGGTTTACTGTTTAGCAGCTACTGTGCCTTTTGTAGCTCCGCCCCTGTGGCCACCGTAATTCAGGCACCACCTCCGTGACCTTTCATCAGGAGTCTCTGCTTTCCTTGTCTTCATTCTCCTTTGCCATCTTGACTCCCTGTTTAATTTGTGGCAGGGGCGAGAGAAGAGATGAGGTGGGGCGGGGGGGGAAAGTCCCGCAGGAACTCGGCCTCTTCCCCCTGCTTGGTTTTCAGCCCTTGGTAACAGAGGGCATGTCTTGAGGGCTCCTAGTTTGTGGTCACCCCTGACATTTACTTTGGATGCCCGGTTAGCGTGGCCGTGAAGGGGATGACCCCAGCGCCTCTGCTACCATTGATGCTTCCTGTCGGCCAAAGGTTTTGATTTAAGTTCCTCAGAGGAGTAAAATCTGTGAGTTGTCCAGTATTTGTAAACACCTAACCTTGTCCTCCTCCTCGTCTTCCTCTCCTAGAGGCAATTGCTCTTGGATCCTTCTGTTTACAATGGCCCAGAGAACCGGACTCGAAGACCCAGAGAGGTACCTCTTTGTGGACAGAGCGGTCATCTACAACCCTGCCACTCAGGCCGACTGGACGGCTAAAAAGCTAGTGTGGATCCCGTCGGAACGCCATGGTTTCGAGGCAGCCAGTATCAAGGAAGAGCGGGGAGATGAGGTCATGGTGGAGTTGGCCGAGAATGGAAAGAAGGCGATGGTCAACAAAGATGACATCCAGAAGATGAACCCACCTAAGTTTTCCAAGGTGGAGGATATGGCGGAATTGACGTGCTTGAACGAAGCTTCTGTGTTACACAACCTGAAGGACCGCTACTATTCAGGACTTATCTACGTGAGTATTTCCGGCCACGTGATCGTGGGAGGTGGTGGCTGGGAATTCAAGTAAATTGCACCTGCCGTCGTGGGAGCCAAATGAGACGTGCAGTACCCGTGCTCTCCGTTTAACGTGACTGTCCGTGTTACAGATAGAAAGGCCACCTCTTGCTTACCCAAGTCTCCCGTTCCTTTGTATCTTAGCACGTAATTTTACTTTATTATTTTTAATTTATTTTTTAAAATGTTTCTTTATTTTTGAGAGAGGGAGCACAACCAGGGGAAGGCTAGGGAGAGAGGGAGACACAGAATCCGAAGCGGGCTCCAGGCTCCGAGCTGTCCGCGCAGAGCCCGGCACGGGGCTCGAACTCACGGACCGTGAGATCGTGACCTGAGCCGAAGTCAGACGTTTAACTGACTGAGCCACCCAGGCACCCCTTAATGTGTGATTTTAAATAATCCAACCCGTGATTAAATATACTCACGTGGTAGTTGAAGACTTTCGTAGTGGTTTGCTGGAGTACGAGCAGATCAGGAGAGCGTGTGGGAGGAAGACCAGGGCGTTGGATGTGGGGTGAGAATTGCGTTAATAGTAGGATCCAGACCGCAGACCCGCGGGAAGTCCGTGTGTGTCCAGGAGCGTGGAGCACAGAGCCCTACCAGCACAGAGGATTCTGTGAGGAGTGAGGGCAACCGAGTTACCAAGTGCAGGCTGGTGGGAAAAATGGAGACTGAGGGGTTTTGTTTTTGTTTTTTGTTTTTTTTTAATGTTTTATTTATTTTTGAGGGAAAGAGAGAGCACGAGCCGGGGAGGGACAGAGGATCCGAAGCAGGCTCTGTGCTGACAGCAGCAAGCCCGATGTGGGGCTCGAACTCCTGAACCACGAGATCACGACCTGAGCCGGAGTCGGACTGAGGTTTTTAAGAGGAAGCCAGGACGAGACTGAGGCCGGGGTTACCCTGTGGTCAGCAGTTGACGCGTGTGTTGCAGTCACTGACGATGTCACTGACCATGTGGAAAGAGTTACTAAAAATACTAAGGGATAAGGGAGAGCAGAAAAAT